GCTGAATCCTTTGCTGAGCACAGGTTTGATCTAGAGCTGTTCTTGTGAGCATGGAAAGTACCTTGAACAGGGATGGGGATGGCTGTACCAAGCAAGTGTCTACCTACCCCTAAATACTGTCTTGTCCAGCACCCTGGATCATGTGGAGATCTTAGTAAAGGATCCGAGATGAAGGCTGTGGGTCCAAGCTACACCTCCAGCTGGCCTTGCTGGCAAAGCAAAACCCTCCTGCTCTTTGCCCACTCTCAATAAAGACGCAGCCTACCTCAAGTCTTTTGTATTCTTGGTGGGTCTTAAGAAATTCATGCAATCCTTAGTAGTCAAAATAATGAGATTGTCTCCTAATGTGAGAATTTCCTTTGCAGGATAAAGTACACCTAAGGGCTGCTGATGTAATTCTCTCATACTAAGCTGATTAAATGCTGAGGAGTTAGAGCTTTTTATAATTTTATTACATTAGATTCCAGAGATGAAATGAATAGAAATGACCAGACACTGAAGGAGGCAGAAATCTGTGTCCGCAGATTTTAGAGACTATAAATTACATTCGGCCAATATAGCTAGGTGTCTGCAAGAACAAATCTAATAATAGAGTATCCGTCTGTTCGACAATATGGATAAACTTGGGCTATCGGTATTGTACAATATTAAAAGGAGAATTACAAGCAGGACCACAGAGAACAAGTAAAGGTCATCGTGTCCCAAGGATTCATGGCATCCCTTTGAGGAAGATCAGCAGCCATTAGTACTGCTTAGCAACTGACTGCAGGATATTATTACCACCGCTAATTATTTGTAGTGAGAGATGAAGGTTTGCTGGGCTGGGCAGAGGATGCGACATGATAAATCCATCATCCCTTCCCAAAAGGTCTGAGCTGGACCCAGCTGGACCACACCTGTATATGGAACCTAGAAAAGTCCCAGATTTGGCAGAGTTTGGAGAGAAACAAGGATTGCAGACTCCCCAGAAAAAGCCCAGCTAACTCTCAAAATCAAGGCAGAAGCAGCAAAATGGTTCAAGGTGCAAATCTAAATGTGGCGTTGGCTTTGGGTGATTTGACTCGTTTCAGCCACCCTGGCACAAACCCCTTAATTTGACTAGTCTCTGGCTTAGACAAGTCAGCTGGGGACAGAGGTTACAAATGAGGTGTCTGCTTTTTCAGCTCCTTCCCCTTTTCCTTCACAAGGAAAGCTGGATTTATAAGTAGCTTTCAACCAGGTCTTTGTGCACGCTTTTGGGTCATATTGGCCATATTGGCCACACGACCTGGTTTGCAGTTGCCCAACTGGGTGATTTATGCAACTCATCAACAAAGCAGCCAGTGTGAGTCGGACGACCTCGTGCACAATGTGAAATTCAAGGGATATTCATGCACCGATGCTTTACATTTTTCTCCAGGCACCGCCATCAGCAAAATGCTCCCGTATTCAGATGAGGGTCCTATGAAAGGTCAAATTGAAATTTGCTTGCATATCTGAACAAATATTTGTGAACAATTTTCCCCATTATCGTCTAAGCTTTACGTATGGCCCGTTCAGTGGAGAAGCGTGGTCCTTTTTAAATATATTGGTAGGGACTGCAATGACTTAAAAACTGCCTGAAAGCAATTAAGAGGCTGACTATTCAAATGTATTTTCTGCAAACAAAAGTTTATTTGCTATGTATAGATAAATGCTGTCAGTGGGCTAATTTGGAAGCATTGTTGATTACCCATTGTAATGAGGCCTATTACATAATTAAAAGAGTTTTCTCCTAACTGCATTTTCCTGCTAATTAACATTTTATGCCATCTACAATGGACACTTTGGGCTGCATCAAAGACATTATTATGCAATTTTATCCTAAGAGCAGTCTATGAATTATTAATTAATATCAAATCTGTTGATTAAAGGGTAATTTGTAAGTAAGCCAGTCATAGCTAGGAACATGCTTTGCCCATAAGTATTCCCCTGAAACACGGTCCAAAATAATATGGACTAAACAAAAGGTAGAAGACTGGGAGCGTGAAACATGGGAGACCAGGATAATTTATGAGAACCTCTGATGTTTTTCCAGAAATTCCAGTTGTTGGTGTGTTAATTAAGTAGCGTCTTCTAAAACACTCTGTCATGTCCCGGCAGGATTCCCGAAGTGAAAACGTAGAGCCCTTGTTCTTTGTGCAAGTCGAACAACAACAGAAACCTCTTGTAAAAATTCACCTCAACCTGGAAGTTCAGATCAAAAAATACCCAGGCTGGGGGTGGGAGCAGCAGATGTCGGCACTGGAGAACATCTACAGAAATGCTTTTGCTGCAGCATCACCTTAAAAAATGAAATGTGGGCCAGACCAAGGCTGCAGGATGAACATGAGGAGGGTTGCCTTCCCGCTGGTCACTTATAGTAGTGCATTTATCATAGAATCATAGAATGGTATAGGTTGGAAAGGACCTTGAAGATCATCGAGTTCCAACCCCCCTGCCATGGGCAGGGACACCTCCCACTAGACCAGGTTGCCCAAGGCCACGTCTAGCCTGGCCTTGAACACCTCCAGGGATGGGGCCTCAACAACCTCTCTCGGCAACCTGTTCCAGTGCCTCACCACCCTTAAAGTCAAAAACTTCTTCCTAATGTTTAGTCTAAACCTGCCCTCTTCCAGTTTATAGCCATTCCCCCTGGTCCTATCACTACATGCCGTAGTAAAAAGTCCTTCCCCAGCTCTCCTGTAGGCCCCCTTTAGGTACTGGAAGGCCGCAATGGGTCTCCCCGGAGCCTTCTCTTCTCCAGGCTGAACAGCCCCAACTCTCAGCCTCTCCTCATAGGAGAGGTGCTCCAGCCCTTGGATCATCCTCGTGGCTCTCCTCTGGATGCGCTCCAGCAGGTCCATGTCTTTCTTATGTTGGGGACTCCAGAGCTGGATGCAGTACTCCAGGTGGGGTCTCACAAGAGTGGAATATAGGTTCATTTGGTCAAACCAAGCTATCGAATGGTTGCTGGGCAAAGTCCTGGCTCACTGGGGTTGAGAGCAGACTCCTTTCACTGTGAGCCAATTCATCATCTGAATTGCCCACCACACGCAATAATCAATGCACATCAGGTTCCGTACCATCGCATCCAGCCCAGCTACAAGCCCTGCGCCTCACCCATGATGAATGGGGGCTGTGGAGAGCAGCGTGACCCGCTGGGCTTGCCGAGCTGCCGGCTGGGAGCCACAGTCACCCTGAGAAGTCAAACCTTGGGACTTCATCGAAGACCAGGCATCCCACGGGACCATAGTGGGAGGCTGAGGAGCACCCACCCTGTGCTGCTCGGCCATCGTGGAGTCAGAGCTCATTAATCACACACACTGGGACATGGCACCATCCCAGGCTTCAAAGATGAAGCCCGATGTGCCCTCCCCCAGCCCAGCATCTGCTCACTGCTGCTGCAGCCCAGTTCTCCACTGCGCTCAGGCTTAAATCAGCTGCAGCTCGTCCCGAGGTCAGGAGTGGTGGTAGTAGAATAATAATAGTAACAGTAATAATAATAGTAATAGTAGTAATAACAATAATGATAATAATAAATGTAATAATGGCAATTATAATAGCAACAACAAATATTTAATAATAATAATAATAATAATAATAATAATAATAAAGAAGCAGCAGCAGCCGCCTGGTGATGTACATGCTATAGCATTGCTGGAGACACCTGAAATGCACTCCACAGATTGCTTCTGGTCAAGGAGAGGCAACCAGGCTGCTTTTTCTCTGGCAAATGCCTGTTTGGGAAGATCGACTTGTAGCAGTCTTGTTTACCAAGAGCAGCAGGCTGCAGGAGTGCTGCGTGTTACCACAATGGGCACGCCGCAATCAGGCTTTGTGCTTTAATTATAATAGGGGGGCAGGGGAGAGGGAAGCACTGGGGGGGATGGTGGTGATTGCAGCGCGGTATAGCCCTGACTCGGTGCAGTCGCTCGTGACGCCTCTCACACCCAATGTGATCAGAGTGGCATGTGACTCAGGTGAGAAAAATAGAAGAATAGGTCATAAATCGAAAAATAGGTCAAGTAAACAGCCACCCTTCAGATCTTGGACATGGAAAAAGAAATGGAAAGGGCATTTCTGAAAGCTAAAGAGGGATCCATGATGTCTCTCCCTCAAGATCAGCTCCAGCGTGTTCCCACGCCAAAAAAGGTGCAAATCTCCAGATGCCGGGTACAAGCACATCCCCAACCCCAAAGATGAAGCTTCTCTCCCTTCTCATCACAACAGTTGCTTGTATGGACTCACCCTTTGCAAGCCTGTGCCCGTACACAGCCTGGCCAGAGGCACGTAGTTAACTTCTGCGGTACCCAGGAGCAGTAACGGAGCCCAGGACCAATTAGTCGTTGTCCTCCTCCCAAGAAAAATACACAGAGAAAATAATTGTTGGAATTCATAAGCCCTTGGATACAGCAGTGATTAATGAGAACAGCTAACTATAGAGACCTGTAGGAATATACAGCTATGTTTACATCAGCCGTTTTCATTATGTTTTTCTCATTTTGACTTGTCCCATTATTTTGGAAGATGTAATGAAGAGCTCCTTCAGTCATGCAAAAATGAAGCCAGACAGTTCCTGAGGTTTATGGCTTGCAGAAAGGATCTGGAAGGTGTTTCTTTACAAGGCTGGGTAATTTTGAAGGCAGACTAAAGGAAAGGGGTGATCACATCATTTCTTTACACTGTATGTAGTCATCTCTCTTTTAGCAAGAAGTTTTGCTCTTTGGATTGACTGACAGGTCCTAGCTCAAGTGAAAATCCCAGTGCCGAAGGTATCAGGGATAGCAGGTCTCCCAGGTTTGGGTGCTTTTCTTTGGTCCCCAGCAGCAACAGCCCTGCTGGACCACAAAAATAAGGAGGTGCTCCCCAAAACTGAAGGGACATTCATCTGTATCCCCAGTGCCACACTGAGACACTGAGACTCATGATTTCGTTGTGGGCACAGCACTATTTGGGGCTGTGTAAAGAAGACATCTTCTTTTCTAACACATTTCTGGCCATCAGCACTACGGAGGGAAGCTGGAAAACGTTAATTGGATGCAAACAAAAGCTCAAAGCGTGGAAAAAGAGCCCCTTCTTTGCTGTTTCTCTAGGATTTTAAAAGTGGTGTCTCACTTGACTAATTTCTGCTCTTTAACGACAAGAAGGTGGAGAGTATCAGGGTCCCTCATTCACCACCTGACGTAACTCCAGCCTCAGCATTTCCACTCCTCGCCAATCGTTCTCCCAGTGAAACCAACCCATTCGTTTTTAAAGCCATGAAAACACAGATGACAGCCGCCTCTCCCATCCTGGTAAGCTCTGCAGGAGGTTAAAGCCATGCCATATTTTCTGCTTCTACCAGACTAGGCTGTGAACTTTTTGACCCTGGCCATTGGCAGAAAGCCAGGCCATCCAAGGGACTACAGCGTTTATTTATTTATTTATGTATTAAAAAATAAATGTTTCACATGTGAGAGCCTATAAATATCCAAGCAATTTACTGCAGATTTACCACTCTCCATTTTTCTGATCTCAGCACGGGTGCTCCAAGTTCAACCCCAATCCAAATTAATACACAGCGGTAGATTTGCATGTCAATTAGAGGGAGAAGGTTATTTTCTGGCCCGACCTCTGAGATCAAGTGCTAATGCACTACAGAAAAACGCAGTGATCTATCATCCAAACTCCAGCAAGGGCCACTTTTTCCTACAAGGAGGGTTTGCAATAACTTACTCGACACCATCAGTCATTGCTGGGCCGTCCTCTTGGGGCCATTCATGGCATTATGTCCAAGTGCTGCAGGACCAGGAGCATTCAGCCCCAGACACTGATTGAACACAGCACCTTATTATTCATTTTATGGTAGTAGCTTGGTACCCGGGTCATGGAGCAAGACCCAGACATGGAGAAGAGCAGACCTCGTGCCCGGAGACTTTGCGGTTTGAGGATGTGCTGTGTTTTGATGGTAGGGCAATAAACGCTCCTCCTTACGGAAGGGTTGCTGGAAAGGGCAGCGGTAAAGGAAGGAGGAGTGAACTGGTCACGAATTATGTCTGGAAGCAGCCAAAAAGCAATGTTTTTAAGCCATTCCAATGCCTTGTGTCATCTGTATTGGAAACCACAGTCTAATCTCTTTTCCTGCACAGACCAAGTGGGGAAGCAGCATCAAATGATCCCTGGGGCCCAAGAGATGAAGCTGTGTCCCCAGAGAATGAGCTACCCATGAGGACACAAGAAGAAGGGAGGGGGCCTCCATCACTGCCATCTCCTCCTCTTCCTCCTGCTCTCCTCCTCTTCCTCCCAAAGCCCCAAACCCTTTGCTGGCCCCATGGCTTAGCAAGGGACTGTGACTCTGCTCTCCTGTGTTATTGCAACACTTTGTCTCCCTGGTGAAGCCCAAGCCCGTGCCCGTGTGTGGTCAGGACAGACAGCAGCTATCACACACAGCAAGAGATGCTGCCGTCAGCCTCCCCTGAGACATAAAACAATCCCTGCCCTGGTCCCCAGGGTGCCATAGCAGCACGTGTGATGGATTTGTCCCTGCCTTCACAGGTCAGGAGCTGGCTTGCTGGTGAGCTATGGCTGAGCTCAGTAGAGGCCAGGACGAGCACGGCTGGGCTGGTGTCCCATAGCTGCAAGGAACAGCTCAGATATTCTTTCAAAGGGAATATTCGAGGGGAAAAAGGAAAAGGAAAAAAAA